CCCCCCGACCCGTCATCATCACGTTTCCAATAATCAGTTTCCATACATACTTTCAAATGCATAAAAAATTTCTAGCAGCAATTCTTCTTGAAATATATATATTTATAAGATTGTATTTACAATATAAGAAATATCTGATAAAGAAAATACGGATAAAATATGGGAATAAAAATAAAATTCAAGATTTCTGAACGTTTAAGTAAAATGCGAATTTTAAGATATTAATTTTGTTTCAACATATGTCCGCATATTATAAAATATTTTCAAATCAATTACTATCTTCATTTGAAATTTACTCTGTAAAAATAAGGAGAAAAATTATTTAAAATATTTGTTTAGAGTACAAATTTCATATTTCTGCAGTCAAAATCAACCAATTTACATTTTTATATATTTTACTTATAAACAGATTCACTCCAGAGAAGCTGCAATAAAAAATAAATTTTATGACCTTCTCCTTATTGTATTTTCTTAGCTTGTTATTTTAAAAACCTGATAAAAAAAATTATGATTGTAATTTAAAAAGTATTCATTAAATTATTATAATATTTTTAATTGGTTAGGAAAAGAAAAATTGTGAACTTCTAAATAATTATAAAAAATTAGTGCTTCATACGTATCTCAATAAAATTCAAGAAATAGAATGAACAAACAATAAGTTGCTTAACAATGGGATTTAATTGTAGATTTTAGGTGTTACCTGCAAAGTTATATTTATCAGAATACAGTTTGCTACGGAGTATTTAAATAATTCAATTGTATTTAAAATATTGATTAGAAATATAAAATCGTAACCAAAATTAGTAATGTACAATTAGAGTACATTAGAGTAAAAGTTAACCAAGTGTTTGTTAATAACTCGAATTTCTTTTGTAATATAGGTAATATTAATATTAAATATTAAATTATTAATATTAAAGTAATATTTAAATAATTAGTAATATTAAAGTAATATTAAATATATGTAGTGAACACTGAATGTTAGTAAAACGAGAGCAATAATGTTATTAAAATTAACATGAAAAAAATAAAAATAAAATATGCCCAATATTAAACTCACTACACGTACTTTATTCATAAAGGATAAACTTCTAGTTAAATATATAAGTCAATATTTTATTTTAAATAATAATAAACTGCATATACAGAGAAAACTATATATAATACAAAGCATATTTATTATTTATAGCATATTTATTTAAAAAATAATAAAATAGAGAATACGTGATCGTAAACTCGTTCAAAATATTATTAGAGGAAACTTCTGAAAGTATAATCTTAAAATTATGTCAAAATAATTTAATTAAAAATATATACGAGATTAATTATTTGTTATATTATAGACGAAAATTAATAATAAAATCATTTTATTGCATTAATTAGGAACTATTAGTGATACTTCTGAGTGAAAATATATATTAATCACAATGAAATATTATTAGAGTAAATACAAAATCGACATTACATGACAACTTCTACAGAATTTAAGAACAAAAATATAAAATTATTAAAACTAAATAAAAGCACAGAATTTGTATGTCGCTTAAATTATATAAAAAGCGGTAAGAACAATATTGTTAAATAATAAAATTAACGAGCTCGTGCAATTATACTTCTAATGCATTTTTTTAAAACACGTGGACGAATCTATTAAAATGTAAATCTCATTATTGATAACAATAAATTTTAATTTTATATAAAAATAATTTAAATTAAAATTTTAAGTTAGTATTGAATGTGTTAATACTATTGCAGTATTTGTAGAAAAATCAAATAAATACATAAACTGTATATATGTATTTATTTATATATAATACTATAAACTATAAACTTGAATGAATTGAAAGTATGTAAAGGCAATTTACAAATAAATTAGTATAAAATAAATAACTATTGATAAATAATCATAAGGATGAAATGTATTTTATTTACTGATTTTATTATTATCGAATGGTTAGTATATTATTTTAGTTTTTTTAAATGTAATGAAAGTTATCGTTTTTTTTTTATGAATTCGCGAATGTACTGAAAAATAGACAAAATGGAATCTTCGCGATTATATTAAGTCGAGAAAATAATAAAACATAAATTAAATAATCAATCTAGCAATTCTTAACATTTGATCTTTTGCATGTACATGTAATACATTTTTGTTAGAATAATCGAGCTCCTGATCCAAATTATTTTACAATTTGTATGCATTCTTTCTTATAAATATATGTTTTACAATTGTATGATTTCACCTATTGCATTTATTAAACGACAAAATATTAAAAGTCTACAAGTCTCTCTCGTTATATTATTTTGTGACAATTTTCTTTTCTAACACTTTCAATATTATACACTTATAATGTTATTTTATTAAAGGCGTGGCAGTTGGAAACGTCGGAGATATTTCTGTCGTAAGTGAATTAGCAATTTTTTCTCGTGTGTAGTGAATTGATTGACATTGTTTACATAGTGAAATAAAATTCGACATTTCAAGAAATTACTCAAGCTTCTTTAAAATCTTTAATAATATAAATAATGACAATGACAAGTGCAAAAACAACAGCATCGATAAAAACGAAAATAATCGTATAAAAGTTATAAATTATTATTCCATATTCAAATGACTTTAATTAATATTTACATATAAATTATGTAAATATGTAGAGTATAATAAAAATATTGTATTTTATACTATTTTATTCCTATGTTTTAAACAAATGTAAATGATACAAGTTTATAAAATATAATTTCAAATATTAATGTCATGACGACATCACTAAAATTTAATATTTACAGCCACTTGCATTTATTGCGTTTTCATCTTCCAATGGGCTTAAACTATAAACTTAAACTATATAAAACTGTTCTTGTATAGATATTCTCAATAAGTATTATAATTATTAAATTATTAGATTTTTTTACGTAATGTTAATTTTTATTCATCTACATACGCTTCTGAAATTCTCAATAAATAAGATGTTATGAAATAAAATTGAAAAATTTCCGTCATTAATTCATATCCCAATATAACAGATAAAAATATAAATAATATAATTATACATTATTTCGTTTATGAAATCTATATTTCTTTATCTCGGTATTCAAATCTATAAAGTTGCCGGAGGTATCGTTAAATCCAATGTTTCTATTACATTTGATCTAACATATATAAAGAGCGAAATATTTGTAAATTTATTCTATTATGATAATATATTTATGATATATTAATAATGAAATGAAAATTATAATGCATTATTAAAGTATTGTTTAATTCACTTGTGCTAACGATTGTTTTTTCAATTTTCATAACATAAACAGATGACAAGATAAAAATACTACAATATACAATGATAATACGATACTTTTCAAATTCCTACAAAGTTCACTTTAATTAGCTCTTGAATTATCATCCATAATAATATCTGATTAAACAAATATTATTTTTGCTTCTGTCATTCGTATTTATCTTAATACAATCTTAAAATTCTATGAACCTATTACTACATATCTTGCCGATGATTAGATGTATACAATCATTTATCACAATAATCATACAATTTACACTTTACTTGACGTTGTCGTTTATTCGAAAACTTAGCCGTTTCATTATCATTAAATATTTTTTTATAATTTGCTACGTGTTATAAGTATTATATATCTATCCCTATATTTTTCTGTGTACTAATCATTCATTAAGTATATATAATATTCAACATTCAAACATCAGTTTTGATTAATTTATTTAAATTCTATTTTAAATGTTTTAAAAATTTTTTTGTCTTTTTTATCTAAATACATTCCTTTAACATTAAATTTCAGACTTTACCGTAATTTTTTATATTTAGTTTTATTGTAAGCATAATCACTTTCCATTCCAATATTTATAATATAAATCTTTTCAGATTCTAACAAAAACGGGCCAAACGTTGCAAATACTTCGATACACTTTGGTTCTTATTGGAATGTTTATACATCAATTTTATACAATTTGGCCAGGACAAAAAGTACTTGAACACAGTGAACATTTATTTCATGAAGCGTAAGTTCCCGAGAGAAATATTTTTCAGCTTTCTTAAAATGACGTCTCATTGACATTTAAATTTTATGAAACTTCTTAGACAATATTTGACGCTTTAAGAAAGTTTCTAAACCTTAATAAAAATGCAATTTTCCAACGAAGTTTCATCTAAAGTTCTCTAGCTTAGTTAAACATTTTAGAATAGAAATAGCATAATAAAGTATCTAAATATTTTATTTTAACGTATGATAATTGTCATTACTTTTCTAAAATATTAATATTTCATATTAAAGTATCACATATACTTTTTAAAATTCATAAAAAAAAAAAAAAAAAAAAAAAAAAAAAAAAGAACATGATTATTAGAGTAATTAAACATGATTTTTTTTCTCAAATATTTCTTAAAAATTTCTTTATTTAAATATAATTATAGTGAAAACATTAAATATTCTTAATTATATTTTTATATATTTAATTTATTTTATGTTAAATTCTGAAAAAAAAATTGCAATTAACTTAATATAATAAATTTTATGAAAGACTAATATTGAATGTAACATAAAAAAATTTCTGAAAATAACATATTTAATATTTATTGTATAACAAGATTATATTTTTGTAAAATAACAAAATAAATTATGAAATATAATTAAAAATTGAATGATCTTGACTTGTATATGATGCGCTATGTCAAAAATAATATTAATTTCATTTTAAACTTTATCTAATTATACTGTAAGTAAATTTGATTTATGCTTTAAATTTGTTTAATTTAAAAAAAAATTTAGAAAGCATTTATACTGTAAACTATAAACATGTTATATATATATTACTTGAAAAGAATTTTAGACTAGAGTATGCAAAATTTAAAAAAATAATTTGATAACTTATTAAACTATCTGACTAAACTTTTAATTAATTAATTATATGTGTGTGTGTGCGTATGTTTGTTTGTAGGTATTCTTCCTCACTAGTAATATAATTGTATTTTCAATAAAAGTTGTTAAAATATTTTGAAATATTTTGAAATTGAAAGTTAAAATGATTTTTTTATCTATTAACTATTAAAAGATGTGTAAATAAAAAATAGTAACAATTTATAGTAACAAAATCTTTAATGTATTTCTCTTTTGTTTTTTTTAAGTTCATTTTTAAACAAAAGTATATTAGAAATTAATACTTTTTTCAATCAGTGAAACTTATTAAGATGAAATTTAATATATTTTTTTAAACTTATATAAATTTGATATTAAGTGTGCGCATAGATTTACACAAATGAACATTTTTGTTTATCTGTAATTTGCGTAACTACGAAAATAGGCATTTCAATTTCTAAATTATAATAATTATTAATTAAACTATCGACTATATAACTTTTATTCAATTAAAATTTGTACTATCGAATTAAAAAAATTGTTATATTTCAACTTGAATTCATCGGTTATGTAAGAGTTTCATAAAAAAATTGTTTAATAAATGTATATCAATATCATAGAACTTAATAAATAATACTTGATAACAGATATTATATAAATAACAATGTTAATTAATTAGATTTCTAAGTTACATAATAAAACTTTCAAATATTATATTATAAAATAATTTTTTAATTTCTATTCAATAGTTATACTACGGAATGGTATCAGACTTCTAGTAGAACTAAAATATTATTAAAATTTTTAATTCTTCGTTGTTGTAAGCCTTGTCAGCTAACTGCAGGAGGAATATATATTTTAAATTTCGCCAATTTTTTATCGGTAAATTTTTGCATTACATACAATGAAATTCTATGAAGGAATCTTCAAGATTCTCAGGCTATTTTAATATTATTTTTATTTTAAGGTTTTCAAGACTTCTATATCATATATTACAGTATTTTATTCATTTACATAGTATATGAAATTAAAGTTAATGTGTATAATTTATAAAGTATTGTAACATTCAAATTCAATTATATAATTAATCAATAAGAATTATACAAAAGTTTAAATGACTATTATAATAAAGTACAAAGGAAATTTATTCATTTTTTCCTGATACAATCAAATTCAAATTGATTTTTGGTATTATGACCAAGTAATAATATTCGATAATAAAATAATTTCATATATTTTCGGAAATTTTTAAGTTAAATATCAGTGGCCAATTAATCAAAAGTATGTTAAAAATCACTTTTTTTTTCATTCCATGAGACATATATTTCCAAATTTCTACTATGATTATTACGTATAAAATCAAAGATAATTATACGAGAATGCGTAATCGATAATGAAAATTCATTCAGAAACAGAGTAGAAAAATATTGATTTTTTTTATAAAATCTCGGTAAAATTCACAATTCTTTTTAAAATTTTTCAATAAAATAATTTTTATTGACCACTCAAGAAACATAGTAGATGTGATAATACGATAACTATATATTACTAACATGTATAAACCCAACGACAATAATGACGCAAGACAAGAGACACAATCTATTGAATAAAACTGAATATATTTATTACAGAAAAGTAACTAATGATATATACAATAAGTATTTCAGGAAATTAGTGATAACTTGGTACAATTGACAAATATAAAGAGATAAATAAATTCGATATACTTCACAATATTATCATTACACGGAAACTTCAGTATATGATTTTACAATGTATGTTCTTGATGGACAAAACCATATTCTATAACTAATGTTATTATTTATATGTAATAGGGTAAAATCTTATAGATATAATAGTTAGTGTTCAAATTTGAGAATTTGATAAATTAATTTCAATTATATTTCACAAAAATGAAATATAATGCTTGAAGTACAATTCAGCGAAAGTAATCCTTTCATCTATGAATGAAGAAATTTTGTATATTATAATAAACTATTATAAAATTAATTATGGTTGATAGAAGAAAAATCATGATTGAATAAAAATTATCAAACAAGAAGATACATTTCCTTTCCTTCCTAAAGAAATTAGATAGATTATAATTTAAGAGAAAGTCAAAGATAAATATAGTCTATTGTCAATATAAATAAGTTCATTTGGAAAAAAAAAAAAAAAAAAAAAAAATGGAAAAGTAAAAGTATGTTGGTTAAATATCTTATCCTAATGAAAATGTCAAATCGTAAAAGATAAGAAAATATTCGTAAACCCATTAAAATAATTGTTTCACGCATAAGTATCAGCAACAATCTAATGAAGATATAAAATAGTTGATACATTTATATCTATGAATATAAAAGCATGTTATATAAAAATAATATTGAAGTATTGTATACATCGAGAATTAATAGTATGAATATCATAATACAAATTACAGTAAATTACTATCGAAAGCGTTCTGAGTTATGGCAAAATGATAAATTGCAATCAATTTACCGGATTAATATGAAAAGTCAAAAATCATAAAAAGTGACCGATTTAAGTTCTCTGTAAAAAAAAAAAAAAAAAAATCATATAATAATTGTTAATATTCATTAACGATGATTTTATTTAATATTCTTGTACAAAAATTTCATGAAAATTCTTTGAAAAAAGATTCATTTTTAATAGTGAACAGTTTAAAATGTTACTATTAAAGAACTGAATAATACACATTTTGAAAATCTTAAACACTTTGGATTTCATTAAAATCTTTGGATTTCATCAAAATCTACCATAACTATATCATTATAATAAAACTTTATTAACAATGTTATGCATAAAATCTTTCATGAAAATGTGTTAAATTGAGAATTCAAATCCAAGAAGTAAAACATCGAATCGTGTTATTGTTGTGCCACCCTTTCAATAAATTTATGTTACAATTATATAGAACGTTTCTAAAATAGAGAAACAACAAATAAATATTTTCGATTTCAAAAATATAACTGTATATTATTCAGCATTATAATTTTTAAATAGGATATACTACGGTTCAAACCATTTGATTGTACCACAATATAACAAGTGTTTCCATATTATTATTCTAAATGCTTTTATTGCACATATTATATGTTGTGCCGAAAATTTATTATAATAATATGATAATTAATTGTTAATATAAACATATTTACATTTATTATAATTGTCTGTTTTATACGTTAAATTAAAACTATAAGTGAAATTATTTTAAAATATTACAAAGAATTATATTGTAAAGCTAATCATTATTGAAGTAAATATAATATATAAAAATATAAACTATCTTTACAATAATGAAACAAATTATAATATTCCATGTAAATAAGTTATAATATTGATTATTTGATAATAGATATTTTCACTAGAAATCAGTAATTACAAGACTTTTTATCACTTTTTTATTTAACTATGAATAATAATAAAATATTCGAATTACATATGATAATAATTATACATGAGATAAAATTACTTTACGTGTTCAAATGGAAATATGATAGAGCACTTTGAATCGTACACTTTTTAAATAGAAAATAATTATTTTAAAGACTTGCATTATGACATTTTAAATTGATAATGAAATTGGTGTTATGGACAACTTGAATTTTAAATAAGAGGAAATCGTATATTATAATCATGTATGTATATACGTAACATATTAAAAATCTTTTAATTATACATGAAATTATTTATAACATTTTATTAATTTTTATAATAAGTAATGAAATATAGGATAAAAAAAATTCATAGGATAAATATAGGAAAACATTTATAAGTTATTAATTTAACTATAAGTAATAAATTTGCAAGCCTAGATTTATTTTTAATTATTCGCGACGGAGAATCGAATAATTCAAAATTCGATCGGTAGTCCTACATTCATAATGAATATTTTTTTAAAAAATTTAATTTAAAATCATATACGACAAAAATAACTTAATAGCAATTAATAGAATTATCTTCCCATATATTTTACAGAACTCATTGACTTATAGCCAAATCGTTATACAATAAATAAAAAGCACTTTTACTTGGTTTTGGATATAAGTAATATTGATTTTCTCAATACGCGAATATACGTACATTTAATGCAAAGGTGCGTGAATGTATATATTCAAGAAAAATGTTCAGTGTATTACAGCTCCTTCAGCAGAATGGATATGATTAAAGCAATTTAGAATAAATAATAAGATAAAACATTTACAAAACACATTTACGATAAAAAAAAAAAAAAATAGAAAGTGAAAAGTGCGTAGAACCAGACTATATTTTTACAAGTTTTGTCTTTAAAAAATGATTAATATAATACATTTTTGCTGAAACAAGTGAATTAATGAAAGATAAATATCACAGAGAAATTATAATAAAATTATAATCCAAACAGCGCAGGGGACATGTAATTGATAATCGGTACACAAAGTGTCACTATTGTAGCAATTTAAATTATATAACTGTCCAAATCAGAACTCAGTTATTCTAATAATTCAATGTAATATTCATTTTTATATAGTTTTTAAACGTAACTGTGTTATTTTTAAATATTAGTAATAATATAAAAATTGCTAGTTCGATAAATTGTGAATTTTATAATATTTGAATGACATTTGTAACGGCAAATAACTAAATTTTACCAAAAAAGCAATAGTGAGTAAAAGTAATTTTTCATTAAAAAAAAAAATTAACTATTTTCAAATTTTTAACGCAACATAAAGAAAGAAATGAAAACTTATTTTTATTAAATCAAAAGTAAAAAAAAAAAATCAATAATGTATTTAAGTTTACATTGAAAAATGCCATTATTGCTATATTCTATTCACTAATTTAGTTAATCACTATTATGAAATTAAAAGAATCAAAATATTTTAAAATCCATAATTATTCTGTTATAAATATGAGCTATTATTATACTGAAAGAACAAGTAGTCAAGATATTTAAAGACTGTCTTATATCATTATAAGCCTTATAAGTAAACATAAAATTTAATAACTCATGTAATCAATTAAGCTTTATAAAATTATAAGTTTCCATAAATCATAAGATAACTAAATTGTCGGAAAAAGTAGAAAAATTATTCAAGTAGGCTGTGCATATATATTGAAAATAAAATTTATTACTATCTCGTAATTTGCTAATAAAAGATAATATTATATTTGACATTGTGCTTAAATACAATCCTTCTCAAATAGACGTTTATCAACTTCGGTTTTATGATGAAAAAATATCGATATTTTTGTTTTTTCTTCACTAAATTAGTTCATTAGATATCATAAATGAGATTATAAATCAGATAAAATTAATGTAAAAGTATACTTATAAAACGAATCGATATGTTAAATATATTAAATCGGAGAGTTTAATTGTTCTCACTATTAATCATTTCTAGAGTCTCGAATTGGAATTACATAATAATAAAGAATTAGAAACAAATAAAGAGAATGTAATTAAATTTATTTTTTATTTTTGAAAAGATTTTATTATATAAATAATTCATCGAAAATATTTCATCTTTTTCTGGCTATTTTTTACAAATGCATACTTACGTGTATTTATAAAATTGTCGTAGGCTTAAGTTTATATCAATAAACCTTAATAATACATGAATTTTTATTAGGAGAATCCTTATTGACCAAATAAGGCAATAAATTCAATATATTTGGCCAATTATTTAGCTTAAAAATGCATACAGTTATGTAAATATCGTTTATTAATTCTGAAATATCATATTCATAACTTAATTTGAAATTGAAAATTGTAAATAAATATGTAGTAGAATCTCATGGATAAAAATCAGTTTTGTTCAATCCATATTAAATAATAATAATAATCGTTATTGTAACAAGTGTGCGTCGGTTATGTTAAATCATTCGTATAAGCAATGCATATGAAATTATAAAATTTTGTGGAATAAAATATTTGTTGAGTAATGGATTGTGATTTGAGATATCCAGTAAAGAACGCCTTATAATTCTATAAAAATAATTTCACGA